ACACACACACACACACACACACATACACACATATACAAACAGATATATAAGAACTCCAAAATCGAATGTTTTTAGTGTTTTTTTAGTGTGAAATCGGATGTTTAGTGTAAACTATTCTATTTCATAAACATTTCAAGCATACTAGAAAAAAGGTTATTATGCTAGCATATATACGACAAGGATAGATTAACCGAAAGAAATAGATCGATAATAAATAGGAAAGATGGTAGTAATATATGTATATTATGTCTAGACAAGTAATCAAATCATCTACCGAGATATGCTGGTCTACAAGGATACAAGGGATATTCTAATCATGAAGGAAGAAAAAAAACAAATATACTCAACAAACTACTCCTTAATAATAATTTCATTAAAGCTAAAATTTTAGATCTATTTAAAATCATACATGACAAATACAATATATATACATACATATAATAAACCTCAACAACTTTAAAATTCAAGATCACTAGTCCAAAAAAGCTAATGTCAAATATAATCCGTGGTTAAGGATAATTGTTCGTTTTTGTTAACTTATTCTTAATTTAGCTAAACAAGATATGATCAAATCTCATATCAGTTTGCTGGACCAGATAATAATAGTAATTATAGCATAAAATAATTTTCAAAAGATAGCAAAATGGCAAAAAAAAGAATACATTTTTGACAATTCATTTCGGGAAATTACAAATTGGGAATACATTCTCGACAGTCATTCCAGCCGTACCCATCAACTCGGAATAGTGAAGAAAGCTCCTTCCGCTATCAGTAAAATTAACAAAGAAAAAGTATCTGAATTTAACGGGCTGCACAATTTTCCTCTGGAATTTGTTCCGTGCTGGGTTGTTTTCAGTTGGATTTGGTGAAATTTAAAATTTGTCTATATTTTTTAGGCGATGATAATCCTTGAACAGAACAATCGGATTATTACTGAAGTATTGGACCTTAAATTCTCTACCGCTAAACAAGGGTAAGAATTTTTATTAATAAATTTAATACAAGTGTAATCATATTCACTCAGTCTTTTCATTTTTCCCGCTTCTTGAACTATTTTTTTTATCCTTTTGTTTATCTCTTTCTTGATCATCTCATGCCTATTCTTCTTCTAATTTACTTATTTTGTATTTTTATATGTATGTATTTTTTACCTGTCAATTTTTATTCATCTGCTTATTCACCTACTATTTCTCGCCTTATTTATCTCGCTTCTTTTTTTACTAGCTCATCATCGATTTTGTCCGTTTTTCTACCTCTCTACTTTTTATTTTATTTATTTTTTAACGTACTTATTTTATTTATTTGTTTGTTATTTTATGCAATTATTTGCATTTTATCTCTTTTATTTTACATTTCGCCTCTTCAACTTCTGCTTTGGCAAAGAGAGCTTTTCTTCTACAGAGTGTCACCATTTACAACAATGGCATAATGGCACGTAATTATATGTATATATTAATTTTCTTATTTTGCTTCACCTCGAAAGAAAATTTTTCATTGTTTATGGCAATATCTGAAATCAGAAATAGTCTTTTGATCTATCACTCTAAATAGCTAATTGTTTAAGTTAACTGTTTAAGTCAAATTATGGCTTTCTGTCCTGCATTTACTTCCAGCCTCAAGTATTAAGTTAATGATAAAAAAGTGAAGTATCTTAACCACTTTTATTTATCGTTTGCTGTAGAAAAGTTTACTTCTTTATTACTTTATCGTTTTTAAGGAATAAACTCGAAAAACTGGATGTCAAGTTCGCTGATTTCGATGGTGTCGTTTATCACATATCAAATCCCAACGGTGACCGTGCCGTGATTATGGTTTGTGTTGTTTGTATGTCAGTTTCTATCGAAATATGAACAGAATTTTTTAAAGTCCAGGTGGGCTGAAGCATTTCAAACTACATCCCCATTTTCTTATGGGACGATGATTGTCATGGCCAGTGACAGGCACTAAACATACAATCAAGTAATAATCTTTTTTTCTATTTTTCTTCACATCTTTGAGTGCAAAACTTTTTTCAGCTTAGCATATCACTGAAATTTTACAGAGAGCTACAAGAGCACGGAGCTGACGAAGTAAATTTTTTTTATTTATTACTTTTTTTTGATCTTGCCGTATTTTTTAAGTTTAAAAATTATAATATTTAAACTCGCAATTTGATGTGATCTTGAAATAACGACATGTGAATTATAACAGTCTAGGAAATTTTGGGATGAAGAATGACGTAAATGTTGCAAATTAAACATAAATGTTGTTTTCTATGAATTGAAATGTTATTTGTTTTCATAATGCATATTTGCTGTATTTTAGTTATTACATCGTGAATACGGCAAATATTTGTGTGCAACACCAGAATCAAATTACAATGTTTCACTGACCTACAATTTAAACGAACTGCCGAATGATTACTCGTTGATTGTTAGCCAAGCTTCACATTTAAAGCGAAATTGTTTTGCATCAGTTTTCGAAAAATATTTCAATTTTCAATCGCAAGGTTTAACCGGAGCACAACGAGCTATAATCCATTACCGAGACGACGAGACTTTGTAATTTTTTTAATACTTGAGAAATTCAAATCTAATTGGAAATGAAAATCTAAGCGATTATGTGATCTATGAGCCGTTGAACTGATCTATGACATTTTCACTCGACTGCGAATTTTTTTTGGCGAGGGCCATTTTAGCATTAGAAAGATTAGTAATTTCAGGTATGTAGAAACAAAAGCTGATCGAGTTACTGTTATATTTAGTACAATATTCCGCGATCCAGATGATGTAGTCATTGGAAAACTGTTTTTACAGGTTTGCTTTCATTTGTGAGTTGTGTAAAATCTTTCTGGCTCATATTTCATTAATGTGCTTAGACTAGTTTTTCAGAATACAATTTATGAAGTGTTGGTAATAATGAAAATTTAAAAAAAAAACTAGATTTTTTTTAACGATTCGACTACTATAAACGCTGGAATATCTGGGGATTAGCAAGAGGAATTTTCTGAAGAGCAATTAGCGAAAAGAGAATAGTGAGAATTATCGTGAATTTAAATGTTCATATTACAATGCCAGTAAATAATAAGGTCACACCAGCGAGTATTCAGTAGTTTTTCTCCAGAAAAAACTGGAAAAATTTATTTCTGAAGGAATTCCGAGAAGGACGAAAGGCATCGCAGACATCACCTGCAGTACTTTATACAGTAGGCGAACCACCACTTGAATTACGTGACTGTCCTGACGCTCGCGTTGGCGATAATGTTGGCTACATCACTTTCGGTAAGTGAAGAAAAACATCTTTGTCTCATTCCTTTTAAAATATTTATGTATATAAAAATATGGAGTGAAAATTAAGTGATTTTCATTTGTTACTAGAAGAGTAGCAAAGAGAATATAGAGGAATAAATGCATCATACCTGTTGATTCTTACATTTCTGTGTGAGTTGTTCAGATTTTATTACTGATCTGGAAATCATGTTGATTTAACATAACTTTTAGTATTATTCCCACGACACACGAATGTACAGGCACGTGATAATACAATCAATTTGATACATACATTTCGTGATTATCTTCACTATCACATTAAATGTTCGAAGGTTAGTAAATAAACAAATGAATTAAATTTGAACTGTTTCTTAGCAGAATAAATTGTGTCTGCAATATTTTGTTGGAAAATCTTTTCAAAAATTCATTTTCTGTGACTCTGGACACCGTGCAGCATAGTACTTAGAATTATGACAGATGTAAGATGAACTTTGAAGATGTTTCTAAAAATGCTTTTTAGTGATTTTATGCATAGAGCTTGAAATATTATTTCAGTACATTTAGATCATAGATGTGTTTGTTTATATATTCCTACAAATAGTATAAAATATTAACCGAGAAGCTGCCCCAAAGAAAATGAAACTTAAGAGATTGGAATAAGATCATGTTTTTGATTCCAGGCATACATGCATTCAAGAATGCGGGCTAGGACGAATGACTTCCTCAAAATTTTAAACCGAGCACGACCGGAAGGACGTGTAGAGAAAAAAACGTTCTCGTATGTATTTGATTTCTTATTATTTTGAAGTTGATATCAACATAGTAAGCGTCGAATAGACATCGTCAAAAAAAATAAGCTCCATTGATAGAAATAAGCTATTTAAGTTAACTAGGAATATTTGGCATGAAAAGTTTAAAATGTTGTTTAGATTATTTAGAATTTAAATTTTTGAATAAAATATAATTCAGCTTTCAAATCAAAGAAAAATATTTCAGAGGGCGCAGCTTCCAGCCAGTATAGAAGATAGGACGATGTAAACGGCATCTTATTTTGATAAATTTATTTATTGTTATTTCGGTATAATTGTAAAATTTTTTAATTTCTTTGATAGCAACACTGACATTGTGGAGGATGTAAAAAGTACTGTAACAAGAGTATCTTTTGATATCTTGAATTAATATTTAAAGTGTGTTATCATTGTTGTTCAAATAACATTATAGAGGTCAGAACTAACCAACTTCCCTCATCAGAGCAGTAAATGCAAACTTTTGTAAAGCATGAAAAAAGGTGATGAAGCGTTTTTATTTAATTAAAATTAATAAATTGTAAACAGTGCAAAATAACAAAGACAACCTGTGGTGCAGAATTCCCTTTTAAAATGCACTCAATAAGGAGAAAATTTTCAAGAGTAATTGATACTCTAAACGTTCTAATAGGATTTTCAAAAGGATTTAGAATTCCTATTCCAGAAACGAGATAAAATTAAATTTGTGGAAGCAAAGAGGTGACATACAAGTCGTGTCCATTTTTGGTAAATGCTAAATATTCCTAAATGTAAAACCGAAGATATATGTCCACTTAACTGTTAGCATTCTTTTCCAACAACTCAAATTTCACCAATGCCATATCTTTTTTATTGACACTGTAAAATCAATAGATATAATATGTATGTGTATATATGTGTGTGTGGTGTGTGTATGTGTATGTATTGTATGTGTGTGTATTGTATGTGTGTGTATTGTATGTGTGTGTATTGTATGTGTGTGTATTGTATGTGTGTCTATTGTATGTGTGTGTATTGTATGTGTGTTGTACGTGTGCGTATTGTATGTATGTGTATTGTATGTGTGTGTTTAGTATATTTTGTGTGAGTTACAATTGTAAAAATACTATATATTCCTGCATAACATTGCATCCTATAATATTTCTTCAAGAAAATCTCTTCCAACTTGTCTGTCTTCTAATATTACAAGTACAGTGTGAAGTGCACCGCCAATGCACTCTCTTACGTGCGTCACACGTCTGTCTAACACTAGCAAACAGTTCACCATCTATGTAACAACAGTATTTTCATGCGTATCTATCTATATATATATATATATAGATATACATGCATGTGTATGTGTACGTGCACATTGGTGTATGTGCCTGTTTGTCCGTGCACATATCGGTGTGATGCCACTATCGTTGGATGCCGCTATCATGAATAGGTTGCTAGGCAACGTGCACTCTGATTGGCTGAAATTTCGGAGAGACATCTGTTCGTTAGCGCCTTAGCCGACATAAAATGCATATAAGATTAGTCGGAGGTCTGTTGTGGTGAGGTGGATGTTGTCTCCGTCTGTGTCGTGTAAATGTATGTGTATGTGTGTGTGTGTGTGTGTGTGTGTGTATTTGTCTGTCTGTCGGTTAACTGACTGATTACCACTTAAATTTCGCAATTTGTTAGCATTTCAGGTTATTCAAGATTACTGTTATTGAGCAATTATAATTACATCAGTTGATTACATAAAGTGATGGTTGTTTAGTATAACTATACTTTAGATATAGCTCTTTTAAATTATTAAATATTCATTCATCTTTCATCTGAAATCGTTCTATATTGACATGATCTGAGATTATTTCATCTGTTTAATACTATACACACTGTAGAAGGAATTATTGTACATGTGTCATTTTTTATCACTGCTTCTTAGCTAACTGCATTAGTGCTGCAATAAGATTGAATGTCTTTCATACGGTACTCTGACTGCATATGTATTGTATATTGTCATTTCTGCATGATGATGAATGTTTTTTTGCGGCTAGAGCTAGTTGATCTCTCTATTTATTTGGTTAAACATAGACATATTCGTATATTCTTCAGTTTCCAGAAATGCACCATTCAGTGAGAGACTACTTGAGGGTCAGAGGTTAGCGGGCAACTATTGCATATTTTAGGCGGGAAGGCGGGAAAACTTTTTTCAATTTTTTATAGCGAGTTATAATAGAATAAATAAGGAGATTAATGTGACAAGTTGAGGTGTGTAGGATTATGAAAAAAAGTGGTGCCATTTTAAGTAAAAAATGAAGATGATTTAATTCTTGGAATTTATTCCGCTTTTTCTTTAGTCCTATTTTATATTTATGGATGTTTAATTTGGACGATCTGTGAGGTGTGGTTATTGAAAATTTCGACCTCTTTTTCGTTTCGAATTATTAGGCACCGTAACTTATTTTGCAGCAAATTTGAACGGATAATTTTGGTAGTGCAAAAGATAGCAAAAAGAAATGACCGATAGGAAGGCAGTGATCAAAAATGCTGATATGTCAGAAGATATGCAACAAGATGCTATCGATTGTGCAACACAGGCTTTGGAAAAGTTTGTTCATTTTCTTCCCCTACTTCCAGTATGGATTTACTTATTTCGGTTCTGCAATTTGACTCAGAATTTTAGATTTGATCCATTTTAATCTTCACACTTCGCTTCTTGAAAAAATTTTCGGAAAAAACAATTTTGAAAATATTTGTGCTCTTGGTAACTGGATACTATACCTTTTGCGGTGGCACAAAAAACATTTTAAAAATAGTTCTCAGTAACTCATCCATCTCATATTTAGAAAGAAACTTTCCAATGCTCTTCTCAGTGGTACGAAACGAGCAAAAGAGCGTCCTTAACGTGCATTGAGCTATTAAAGTAGCATAAAGCACAAGATTTTAAAGCAATTTTCATGAAACATTAGTTCTTGTCGGTAGTGTATAAAATACATTTTGAAGATTTTGTTATATTTTGTGTTATATTATGTATTTGTTTCATATAATCTTTTCTTTCAGTGTATAGTAGTCGTTTAGGTATAATATCGAAAAGGATATAGCAGCGTATATAAAAAAAGAATTTGACAAGAAGTACAACCCGACATGGCACTGCATTGTTGGACGAAATTTCGGGTCATATGTTACGCACGAAACAAAGCACTTCATTTATTTTTATTTGGGCCAAGTAGCAATACTTTTGTTTAAGAGTGGCTAACTTTCTCCTGTGGTCTGTTCCTCCCTTTTTTCTCTCATTCTTCCAAATGTTACAATTTTGTATTATTTAAACTAGTTTTTACCTGGTCTTCTGTACATTGCTGATATTATTAACAACGACGATAATGAAACGGATCGAAATATATCGTTTTCGTAAATGTTTTTTTTCAAAGAAATGTGGAAGTTGTATTTCGAATCTCTTTTTCCAAATCTCGAGCATTTATCAGGAATTTTTCGGATATTAATTTTCTACATTTCTTGTTATTTTGAATCATTAAAAAGGAGCAAGAATAATTACAGAAAGTTACGCTGAATATTTAGGATTAGTGCCTTAATTATTTCTCTGGATACATACGCGCGAACACATATATATATGCACACGCAAGAAAGAATCTCATTGCATGTGATTTTTTATAATGTTTTTTCCATTCGCATTAGTGGATAAAATACCCTTTGCGCGTTTTCCACTAAACAGGAAGATATAAAACAAGATTTCCGCCTTCCATTTACAAAATGTGCAGGATTATTGCAGCATTTTTCCATCTCAATGCAGTAAAATTCGAATAGCACGGAGCATGTTAGTGGAATCATTAGGTTCCACTGCGTTTGAATATTTGATCATCTTGAAAGAATCATAAGATGTTTCCAGATTGGATGTTTGTCATTATCTACTTCTCTACAGTGCTGCTGAAACCTTTACCGCTCCATCCTACGTTTTTCTGACTTCAGTACTATAGTAGCATTCCAAACTCTGGTATTATTCCTGACCAGAATCAATCTACGTTTTCAAACTTAAAGATATGATAAAAGCAAAAAAAATAATGTAAAGATCAAAAATGAACTTTTTGATCGTCGAAGCAACTGTAGCTAAATGGTGGGAATATAAATTAAACTAATAACGTTACTGGAATTATTTAGGAACGTTTGTGTGAAAATATTCTTGTCCTTACCAGCATTATTTAATGATTAGAGCATTTAAGCTCTGTAGTTATTACGGGAATGGACTAATCAAATATGAGTTAGCTTTTATTTGAAGTCAGATCATTTTCCTAGAAAGTTAAATTTGGTAGGGTAGTAATAAAAAACATCTCTCAGAAATGAATTGATTTTCTTTCATTGTTCAGATATTATGATATTCATCCTTAATTTTTTAAGCACTAAAAACTGCAGAAATGCATGACTATCTGAATTAAATAATTAACTATAAGGGTAATTGGTAGCTCAATATTAGTTCGCTGTCAATGACTGCATCAATTTCATCATGACAACATCCATAATCAGGTGACAATAAATCAAATAGGTAGCATTATTCAACTGGATTAAAACTAAAATTTGTGAAACCTGTTTCGGTATCGCTTTAATTTTTGTTCTATTGTTTTTTTCGGCTTTCCTTTTATTGCTTAATCTAATTTTCTGAAATTTAAAAATATTATAATCCTTGAAATGTAAGACATTAGAACTCCTGTACCTAAAATAGTGATGCTATCCTCAAAGTCACAGGTGAATAAAAATAGAGAAATTAGTATTTTACGAATAACAAGAGAAATGCTAAACATGAGCGAGAATTGATGTCACATTAATAGTAAATAAGTTAGTGATAATACGGCAGTAATAAAAAAGATACGGAAATAATCAGTAGTGTAATATATGAGTTTTCACGTATTACATAACTTCTCTATCACTCACATATTAAATAATTTTTTCATTACCTATATTTATATCACATGTAATCATACATCATAAGAAAGATTATATGCCACATGAATTTTTCTTGTTTAAAAACTTATCTTAAAATTACATAACAATTTAGGATTTTACAAAATATAAGTAACTCTTTTTTCAAAAATCTAAGAGACAGGAAGATGTAAGAATAAAGAACATAAAGTAACGTTTACACGTGCGCAAATGTACACACATCGGCTAAGATATTTACACGCACAAAAGAATATCACAGCTTTTCATATCGAAGTGACATGAAAGCTGGTATAATCTTATGCGTCTTGAATGGATTATTTTTATTTGGCAAGTTGACAAGTATTCGTCATTGCGATCACATTTTTGGGTTATCATTTGTGGCTTTGAGGGTTGCAATTTTCTCTTTATGGGTAAAATTTTTGCCTTACGCTACTTTGATGAAATATTTTAGGATTGATAGAGAGAGAAACCGATGGGTCATTCGTAATTTTTTGTTGATGGCATCTTTTAGGCATGGCCTGACATACGGTGGTCCCATAACGCTTCATCATTTACTGTAACTTATCGATCTGTTAGTTAAGATGTTCATAGTGGTGATGTATTGCATATTTTTTTAGTTAAAACAGAAAGAGATTTTATGAATTTTTCTTTGAAATTTTGAATGATCTTGATTTTAGATCGATATATATATATATATATATATATAGCTAATAAATGTTACTCTCCTTTCTTGTCTTCTTTTCATCATATCTGTTTACTTTATTGTCAGAGATAGATCAAACAATAAAGTCATCAAAAAACATCGATATATAGCAATGTTACATTGTTTTTTAGAATATTGTGCAACACGAAATGACAAAACAGTTTTATTGAGATGTTGCATAGATATTACTTTGTTTTCAACAAATCTCTGACATTTTTTTGCTAGACTTATTAGTAGTACAAGAGGGAATGATAATCACATTTGAAATGTAGAATCTAATTTTAGAGAAAAGAGAAAAAGATTTCTCGCCTCATCACATTTCTTCAGCATCGTTTGTGACATATTCGGGTTTGTTTGTATATTTCCAACGAGCAGTTAACTAAAGGAAATTGAAATGACAAATAGTACGACGGCAACGGCATTGCATCCATTAGTCCAGTGGGCTCAGCGTGATAAATTACTTTATTTGACTGTTGAAATTGATAATGTGGCCGATCTCCAAATCACTGAAAATTCTCTTCATGTCAAGTAAGCTTTTTGTTCATTTCACCATTAAATTAAATAATAGATGAGATGACGGTGCAATGATATAATGGCTGTAACGCATAACTTTATTTCTCTTTCAGTTCTCACGTGCAGTTGTTTCCTAAGGTAGACGCTTTACTATTTGGTGAAGCTGTCTTTTAGTACCATCACTTATTGCACCCATACTTGATAAATACAACCATATTATACCATCCATTAAGTTTATTTCTTCATGCCTTACGTATATTAAAGGGGCACACATGGTGGTAGCAAGGCTCTTTACGAAGCAAATTTGGATTTTTATGCGGGAGTAAAGACAGACTACCGTAAAATTGCTAACGACAGACATTTGGAATTGGTTATTAACAAGGAAACACCAAACTGGTGGCCACGATTATCGAAGAGTACTGCTAAGGTTTGCTTGTTTTTGCTAACGGTTTCTTCCATTTCTGTAGGAACGCGAACAGTATTTTGATGAAGTGAAAAGGAGTTCAGAAAAGAAAAATAGAGTAACGACATGAAATTAAAGAAAAATAAATTACAGTATTCATTTGCACTTCCTTTTGTTGCCAATAAAAATTCTATAATGGTCTAGAATTTCGCAGTACATTAAGTATGATTATATTTTAAAAAAAATTTAAGAAGGAATATTTTCTATCCTTTTTTACAGCTCCCATGGGTGAAGGTTGATTTCAATAAGTGGAAGGATGAAGACGAGGATGAGGATGATATGAATGGTGGTGATCTCGATTTCCAAAATTATATGTCGAAGCTGGGAGCAGGTGGTGCAGGTGCGCCAAATCTGGATGATTTTGATGATGATGACGACGATAAAGATGATGATGACGGTATGCTTAATTACTTTTGTCCCTATCCTGCTTTGTTGCATCGGTTTGTAACTTATTTGAGAAAAGGTTGACTTTTTTTGATTAGTCTTATGTGGCATTTTTTTCCAAAAAATTTTGAGCTGTCTGAGCTAAGCAGAATTTATGGAACGACACAGTTTTAATCATATCTAAAGATGTGTGAAGAAGCGTGGAAGAAGTTTTTATTTGAAGTTTATATAAGTTTTGGTTTTTCTAGTATATTTTACAGATATGCCAGTCTTAGAAGATGCTGGTGATAAGGACAATGTTGACGATGACGGAGCAAACACAGGAGCTGCAACAGAAGAAGAAAAGAAAGATAAGGTTGAAGCAGGTGATAAGAAAGAAGGAGTTGTAGAACATTCATAAATTACTTTTCATCATCCGTTCCCTTTTTGCTTCTTTCACAATGTCCCAAATAATTTTGAATGGTAGACCACATTTCTTTCTTTTTATGCTAATTTTCATTGATCTATATCAAAAGTTTATTGATAAGTTTGTGTATGCTTGTTCTCCTTCTTTTTCGGCGCAAACATGAGGTCAGCATTGACTCTTATTGGTGACGTCATCAGTTGTGTTAATGCTCAGTTATTGTTAAACGCAATTATACAGAGAGAGTGTTTACCGATGGAGGAAAATTGATTTTGGTTAAAAATTTCATCTTTATAATGGTACTTAGCACTGAGTGGGAGATGGAGGGATAACATCTCAAAATAGTTTTTTCTTTAGTTCTCTCATTTTGACTGATCGCTTAGATCCTTAAGTTACTTAAATTTTATGATCATTTCGTTTTTCTAAAGTTGTGGTTAAGCATGCATACAAATATTTTTTGAAATTTTTAACCTGCTTTTAGGCAAACCATTTGTTTTGGCCATCTTAATGAAGTCTAGCGCTTTGAAATGGATTCATTCTTTGTTCCTTTTTAAGCATTTGTTAGACTTGATATTCTTTCGTTGTCTTAATGTGAAGTATCAATTTCTTCAACTGTCATATTAATGAAGAAAGTACTTTTTATTCATTTTTTTTTAAAATTTTGTTGAAAATAAAATGTTATTTGTTGCGATGCATCATTCATTTTAATGGAAGTAAATGCGTGATATAAACACATCATGAAGTATTTGTTTCAAAAGAATTTTCATGTTATTTTTTGTATAGTTTACCTGCTAAAAGAGTTAGATTTATTGGAGGCATTTGTTGACACTCTCTCAATTCGGTTTTCCCCATTTCCACTTTTGCTTCATCCTTTTTTGTTCCTTTTCCAGTCGAACTCAACTTTTCCTTTCATCGAATGTTTTGGATAATTCTCAGATTATTAAGATGGGGTGGAGGAGGAGAACAATAGAGTGAGGAAGAATTTTTGAAAGATGAAAATGGGTGAACGTTTGATAAAACAAACCTATGTCTGGAAATGATTACCACTATTTCATCTATCAAAATGTTTCCTTTTAAATTGGGCTACTCTTGCTATCCTTTCCTCAGTAATTCTCCATTCCTAAAACATAAAAATCTTAAATTTCCTTAAAAAAGCTACATAAATTTTTCTCTAGTCTCCTGTTTCCAAAAAAGTGAAAAAGAAGCAAATAACTCTTGATTCTTTGTTCAAGTAAAATATTAAATAAATAGTTTTGTTCTGTTTTTTTTGTGAAAAAAGAAACGATATGTAGAAGTCTTGCGACCAACTTTTATTATTATTTAAAATTATTGGAAGTTACTGACATTCATTTAGTATTTACAGTGGAAAAATTGAATTGAGCGCTTCAAATTGGAAGTATTCGCTTTTTCGTAATGATTCTATATGCAAATTTAATCCCACCATTTTGACATTTCAAGAAAAAAGAAGTCCGATAGATTCAGTGTTTTTCTTCTACAGATTAGAACTTTGGCAAAGTTATGATGACTATGAAATATTTAAAAGTTCGGTTGCTGTACATCAATATTTTCACGCAATATTTTTTCTTCGAATTTCAATGATCGGAAAGTTCGGAAAATGAGATTATTAACGAGAAGATTAAGCCAATTCAGGATTTCATTATATTGTTATCCAAGATGTATGTAAATTAATCAATATGTTTGATACTTGTAGAAAAGAAGAGTAACAAATTTTGAAACTGTACAGCTAAATGAAGTGTTACTTTGATTTTGTTTTGATTACTTAAAAACTAGAGTACAATTGTTCTATTCTACAGTACAAACTTTTGCATGGCGAGCAAGGGCATTGAAAGGTTTTTTTTTACATGATATTTTCGTCATCGTTTTTTCTTTTCTTCCTAATTCATTTTTTTGCTAAAATTGTTGATTATATTAATATAAAGTATCAATAAATCATTTCAGAGAAATGTTATGTGATACTGTTATAATTAACTTGTGGTAATTTATTTGAGATTCAAATTGACAAGGATAGCACATAATAATAAGCAAACAAAATAATGAAATAGACAAGATAGGTAATGAATTATAAGATGATGACGTTAATGAAAAAAAGAAAATATATTCTCATTTTGTTGCTGTTGTTGTTGTACTTCTAATTTTCAAGTACATTTTGTAAGAGCATTTCGAGTATACCTACTACACCTACAGTTTCTATTATACACATATTTATTCTGTGTTTCTTCTTTTTCTCCTCTTCTTTTAATGATAATCCAGATATTTTGCTTTTTCAATAACATTTGTTTCTAATCTGATCCTCTTCAATTGACGTCTCTTTACTGATTAGTTGTACTTCCATCATACTACAAAGTTTACTCATTAAAGTGCTCTCTCTCTGTCCCCTCCTTTTCTCTCTCTCTCATTGAAATACACTTCCTCTCTTTCGTTCTCATCATCTTACCGTATTTTCTCTTTATATATCTTTTATGATTCTTACACTTTCTTCTTTGGTATATAATATCTGATCGAGAAATATAACATTTCTACCTCTATCGTTGATTGGCTCCACATCCGTTCTGGCATCACTCCAAAATGGATGAAATTTTAACTAAGGAATATAATGACGATAGTGATGATGATGATGATGGTAGTGATGGTGAGTGATCCGTTGTGTATGTGTCGATCTGTTCGTGTATGTCTACGAGTGTATGCGTTCGTGTATATATTGACATATGTTTGCATGTGGTTTTAATTTAACCTTGATTTATTATTTATTCATTCATTTAATTTTATTCGTTTAATTTAATTTATAAATGGAATTGATAGATGAATTTTTTTTTGCACATTTTTCTTACACTTGATTGAATTGTATTTTTTTAGTTAATAACAAACGATCAAATATTTCAGTGTTAAGTATTCAATATTTGTTCAGGTTTTAGATGTAAAATTGAAATACAACGAATGGTTTTTGATCAATTTTACAGAAAATTTATTAGTATTATTTTTAGCTTTCATTAATTTTTAAAAGAACTTGAGAACTCTTATAAAAGTCAAAAAAGGATAAAGTGATTAGCTTTGAAATTAATGGTGTAAATTTCGATGAGAATTGTCTTTTGATGAAGACAGTAGAAAGGCTTTCGTATTTGCTCTTTTCATTTTTCTCCACTTTTTTTATATTCATGTCATTACTATTTATCTCGCATTTTTTTCCCCCATCGAAACGGATAA